GCTACATAACTGCGCAAGATCTCGGAATCCCGGAAATCTGCTAAAAATCCGCGCCAATTTTTGGCGCGGATTTTTAGCATATTTTTGCCTTGAAGCAGAGAATTTGCTGGTATTTGCAGTACTTCGTGCATGTCGCATGAGTTCTCCAGGCTTTGCGGATTTCAGGGCTTAAAGCTCGCGGATTTGAAGGCACTAAACTCTCTTTTTTGCTCTTTTCCTGCTGCCGGAAAACCAATTTATTTGAAGGATGTTTTGGGCGGACACTGTCTTGAATACGGAGAATAACAGCGAGGACGCTTCTGCTACTGTTTCCTGCACACTGTTTTCAGTTGCTTTTTTCCCACGCTTTTGGAGGGTAAACATTTTAACGGCCGCCATGCTGAAGCGCGCCAGAAAAGAAATGAGAGAGCATCAGAGCTGTTTTTGAGCAGGAGTGCGAAAAGCTCAACAGCTATGTCATTCGGTAACACCTTTGGATCTAAGGTGTAAAAAAATGGGCGAACAGTTTTGGCAGCAACACGCCTTCTAGCATCCAGAACATCGTTCGTGTTCCGAGACCATACGCTGACCAAAGCATCCATGCCCAAACCATAATAACGTTCGTGTTCCGAGAGCATACGCTGACCAAAGCATCCATGCCCAAACCATAATAACGTGCGTGTTCCGAGAGCATAAGCTGACCAAAGCATCCGTGCCAAAACCATAATGACATTCACCCTCCCCGGAGCATACGCTGACCAAAGCATCCATGCCCTAACCATAATGACGTTCACGTTCCCGGAGCGTACGCTGACCAAAGCATCCATGCCTAAACCATAATAACGTTCGTGTTCCCAGAGCGTACCCTGACCAAAGCATCCATGCTTAAACCATGCCCCGGTGCATGGCATCCATGGCTGGAGGCAGACGGGCCCGCAACACATTGCCATTCTTTGAACCGTCAAAATTCTCGAAATCACAAGCAGATTGCCGCCCAAATTCCCGACCTGAAAATTATTGCTTTTACATGTGAACACCAGAAAACCCTGTCAAACATTCCGTGGCCCTCAGTAAAAACCACCGCCCACAATGAACCCGCGTAAAGACACGAGCGCGTTGCCTACTACTACTACTACTACTACTACTACTACTACCCTACTACTACTACTACTACTACCACGACTACTACTACTACTACTACTACCATTACCATTATTATTACTATTACTATTACAAAATTAATATTAGGCCCTTCTGCTTCAGCCGTGGAGCGCTTTGCAGTCAGCAGATATGGTGAGCGCCACTCCCGATTCTGGGGGTTCTTCAGTTCAAGGCCATCAATGCAAATGATCCCTTCGTGGATATCCACCTGTCAGAGCACATCTCCTGCGGGCCCTACAACCTTACAACTCTCCATCCTTAGTACTATAGTCTGAACTCCTTGAAGGGGGTTATATAGGGGATTGTATAGAGGATTATATAGGGGACTACTATAGGGGTTATTAAGGAGGATACCAGGAGTTTAGACAATGGCTCATGTGAGGAATGGAGCAATGGAAAGAAAGTGGGAACTACAATACCAGTAGGATGCAAGGGGAGCCACTGTAGGTATCAATTCCCATCTCAACTCAGCCTTCACTCCGTAAACTTATACCTAACTCATGCGTCCGGGAAACATACACAGAATCCACGCGCGACTCCATTTTGAGCACCTTGCAAAATAACCAGACAGCAAAGACAGATACGCCACACTTCAGCTTGCGCATTTGCATTGACTTTGGGTCAATCCCCCACCCAGCAATGGGTATCACAGGGGAGCATTGTAGGTATGTCAAAGCCCTATTACCTGCACATTTTTAGGGGCTGCTACTGCAGGGGGATTGACATTGACTTGTATCTTGCGGCCTGGGCGCCAAATCACTCAGAGCCTTCAATCCATTGGCAACTCTAGAGCCCATAATTGCCTGCGAAGCGTGCCATAAATGGGGTAATACTAAGGATATGAAGGCTGGGTTGTCCTTAAAGCCCTTTGAAAATGATTTGCTATTATGGTTCTCTACACGTTACTGGGGGAAATTAAAAAAGATCCCAAAGGATAACCCAGAATGGAAATATAGGGTTCTATAGGGTCACATGCTACCTTCCCGCAATGAGGGGCACCAATATAGGCAGCAAAATTATATGAATCGTTTTGTAGGGACCCCAAAATAATAGCTACACCTAATTTTGGGAAACCCTAGACCCTAAACCCCTAAACAATGGCTTCCATCTTCTTTTCCATTATCCCTATAAGCCTATAACTCCTATACCACCGGTTTGGCGAAACCCCTAAACCCCAAACCCCCAAATGGGATAAGCCCTACATACCCCTATATATCCCTATAGGAAACCCATATGACTGGCTCTACTCTGTTGGTTGATGTTTCTGGTCCAGCTTGTGATGGCAGCAATTAGCATTCAGGGGTTTAGTTGTTTGGGGGCTTCGGGTTAAGGATGCTTTCAAAGACATGCTCCAAGGTCCTTAGCAGCGCAAATGAAGATGGGCACGGCTGCAATCAGAGCCTTGGATTTCAAAACTGCCAATTTCCCCAAACCGCACGGACTTGAGACACAAAAGTAAGTGTGGCTGCGGCTCAGCTGCCGTGCAGCATAGAAGCACACGCAGGAGCGTGGGCTCTACGGCCGGATTATGACTGTTGAAATAGACCTTGACACAACTGTATGCAGCAAGACAGGACCATCGTCTTACATCAACAGTTCCTGGAAACAGGTTTAGCACATTGCGCAGAAGTAGAGACAAGCCGGCACCTGACCGTCGCAAGATGAACGCTGTCACACACTGTGGCGCTGACCAGCCACAAAGCAACGTAGAGCAGCAGCGGCACAGCTATGCCGATTGGCACAGCAACACGACTCAGATCAAAACCGTCCTGTAGCGTAAAGCTGTCAAAATGCTTCTTCTGGCTTGCACTGCAACCGTCCTTGCCTGCTCCTCATCCATACGTGGTGATGAAGACCCCTCACTGTGAGATACTTGATAGTAGAAGGTGGCCACTGACCCTCTCGATCACTCTCGCATGTCCAACTACGATGAGGCAAGGTGCATGCATTGGGGAGCCCCATGACGAACATGCCTTGGGCAGACGGATCTGATTTCTTTGAACAGAGTGAGCACAGCTGACAGAGTTTTTCTCTTTTGTGAGGGTGAGATGCCAGTCGCGCACCCCCCTGAGATGGGATGGACCGTGGGGTCCTCAAGGGTGCTTGCTGATACCCTCTGCCATGACGAACTCAAATACCAACAAGCTCGCTTGCCTGGGCGAACGAGGTGACAGCTCCTCCTGGCTGCTCAACTGCAAGGTTCCAGCCGCTGCAGACCTTTGGAAAAACAACCCTTCAGAACATCGTTGCGACAAGCAGATACGCAATTTCTATGCTGCAATCGAGCGACCGGAGCGGTAGTGGCGAGTAGCTCTGCGCCTCAGCCCCCCCCCATTTGCAAACAACATGATCCGAATCAATCACTGCAGCAAGCTTGGATGGCCTCACAAAAAAAATGGGGGGGAGGGGGGGATCATGGAAAGCACGGAGACGATTTAAAACGATGACACTTGCAGGCATGGATGGCCGGTTGGGTGGGGTGCGCAGCGCCCCCCCATTTGCAAACAAAATGACCTGCGTAACCCTCTGATCATCAACTACAACTACTACTACTGCTACTACTACTACTACTGCTACTACTACTGCTGCTACTACTACTACTACTTCAGGAAGGTACAGAAAGCCATAAACCCCGGAGCCAGAAATCGAAGGAGCCAGAAAGCCAAGAAGCCACAAAGCAAAAAAGCCAAGAAGCCAGGCAGCCAAAAGACAGAAGAATGCAAAGTCAAGTGGGTGATGACAATGATCGAAAATGATTAAAATAATGGGAAAATTATGAAAATCAGATGAATATGCTATGAAAAATGCAAACCATATAAAAAACGATGAAGATGATATAAAAGCGATAGCGAAATTATAGAAAATTATGACATGAAGAAACATTAGGAACATGATAGAAACATGATTAAAATAGGCCAAAATTCGAACGCGCTCCACGCCAGGGCCAACCAAAAAAAGAGTAAAAAACAACACAAAACAAATATCTAGAACACGGGAATTCTAAAAGGTATCCCTAATTTTGGGAAACCACAATTTCTTCTATAGCGTAGCACCTGAAACAGCTTGAGAGCTAGCGGCGGGAAAGCTCAGCGCTCCGTCGACTCGTACAGGGTATCGACTTGCATCATACAGTTTGACTTGGAGCATGTCCAGTAACCCATATTATCTATCGCACTGGCCATAAACTGAGCAACACTCCAATTGCAAAAAGCCTGGGAACGTTTTCCTCAGAATCTGCTAGGCAAATGACTTTTGTTCTGAAGATGCATGTGCATGAAATATGACAAGATCGTAGGTGTGCTGTCACCGTGCTGGAAAAGTAGCAACGTGGCTTGCAGCTACAACAGATTCCAGACCTGAAGAAGCCCCAGGGAAGCGCATCTATATAGGCTTCCAAGAAAGACACTTAAGCCTGCGGGACCCTACATTGGCGGCATCACGGGCCCCTCCCTTCCCCACCTGTTGGCCCCCAAAACGCCGACCCAAATACTCCCAGAAAACTCCCCCCAAACCAGGCTGCCACCCCCTCGAGACCCCACTATCCAGCCTTCGGTTTATATATGAACAACGCATTCCATGACGAGGAGATTGTGTGATAACCAATTCCGACAGTTCATACATCCTATTTGCAACTTGCCCGCTGACCTTCAGAGACATGAAATCAAAGTTACCTTGAAGCTAGATCTTCGAGGATTTGGTGCTGGAATGCCGGCGTTGAGTTCTTAGCATGGGGAGCTTCAAGTATAGTTGGAGGCATGCTGGATTCTGCTCAGTGTCTAGGTGTTGCAACTGCGTCCGTGCAACAAGCTGCAGGCTTGCAGGCTAAGGAAAAGAACATCGTTATCCTCGCCCTAGCAAGAAGCTCCCCGATCCTCGGCAGTGAAAAACGAATATGTGGCGTATTCTTGTCAGAGGGAGGGGAGGTTCGAACATCTGGTTCGAGATCGTAAACTTGCATACCATGAAGGATCGTTGTCTAGCTCCTTGCCCGGCAACAGACACAGAATCAGGGTACCATTGACTTCAATTGCGACTGCAGCTGGGGTGCAAGTATCGCACCCCAATGCCCAACTCCAGCGAAGCAGACCGGGACAGCGCCTGCGCATGATGTTTGAGAAGTAGCTCCCTTGTATGATCGATGGACTCTCTTTCTTGCAGGGCCTTTCATGAGTTCCCGTGTAGGCTCTATATGCATCCCCTCTAGGTCCCCTTACACGCCTAACTTTCATCTAGAGCTCACCTGCAAACGCTTGTTTCACGCAAATGGGAGGTGATTGCCTGCTTCATGTTTGTCTTCCAACCTCTGAGAAGTCAGCCGGCACGCATGAAGTCGACCCTCTACAGAAGGTCCCAAACCATGTACCCTTACCGGACACGTAGAGTGAGCTTAAAGTTCAGGGCTGCGCGACTCTTGCAACAACCCCCTATACACTCATAGCCTAATTTGTTTCTAAAACCGCGCCAGCTCCCAGACACTGGAAGCAGGGATCAAGGAAATGAGAAAAGCAGAACTGTTTCCGATCTCGCTCCACGCCAAGCTTGGGAACGGCTTTGTTTGATATTTGCTTTGCCTCAAACACAAGGAGCCTGTCAAGTTCTTGTGAGGCTTATGCGCACGAGCTTGCAAGATTCCTGAGAGACAAAAACAAACCCAGGCATGCGCTGGATTTCATCTATGACAACGCTGCAGATCCATCAAAATGTTCTGGAGGACTTGCATACCCATCAGCAGAACTCAACAAATCACCTTGCAGCCCAAGCAGAAAGCAGCGCATGCTAAACCATCGGGTCAACATTTTTTTCAAAATCATTATGGATTGTCCTTGAATTCTGGCTCTGAGCAAGACGTCCATATATTGAGCAGCCTTACATGGTGGTGAAGAGGAACAGAGTCCCTGTGCGTATGCATTGCATGAGGTTCACAACTCACTGATTCACTCTCCCAGAAATTTCGGCATGACGCAGCTCCCTGATATAGCGTTGAAACGTTTCTGAGACATCCATTTGAGACTTCCATTAGCTGCGTAAGACTCAACAAATCCGGTGACAAGCTGACCCCCGCATCGTGACGTAATGTGATACTTCCCAGAAGGTTTGAAACGTCACATGGAGCCCCCAGCAAGGGCCCAGAAAGCAAGCCAGACAATTACGGGAGAACCTTGACTCTCTTGGCGCAGCACAACGTACTCAGAGGGTACTGCCAGGCGTAGTAAATTCTTGAATCTTGAGAACCTGACATTAATGGCTAAAGCAAAGGTTCAGCTATCATACCCCTCGTACCCGTTATATACCCTTAACATACCCAAGAAACCCCCAGCTCTATACCCCATTACACCCTGGCCTGGAGGCCAAGCTTCTGTGCACGGCGCCGCCAAATCCCCACAACTAACGCTGCAAGGAGCAGCAAAGACACGGAGAGCAAGGTGATGAGCACCCACACCATGATGCCCGGCCCATCCTCAGCATCTTCTGCTCCCGAGGCCTTGAGCGGGCAAGTTTGATTTCATTCACAACATGAATTGTAAGTGGACCTCGGGTGACATGAGCATGTCAAACATTGAATGGCAACCCACCTGCCCTCCGGCTGAAGATGGCGACGAGGAAGACACCGTGCTCGTGCTCAGCGTACTTGCGGAAAGCATCAGAGAAGCATGTCTAATTCTGCACGCACGTGACAGAAACAGGGCTTCACTTGGGCACTCCGCATACTATGGGTCGCGGGAAAGTTCTGCAGAACCAATAGCAAGTGCAAAAGACCGGGAGGGGTCCTGGAAACCACTTCGCCCAGCGCCAAGGAGTAAACTTGCATGCCTGTGTGGGCGCCGCCCGCGATCGTGGACATGCCATCACAGCAGGCACACAGGCCTGCAGGCATGTGATACATGATGGCCCCTCCACAACCTTCTGGGAGCACAAACCTGTCCTGGCTCTGCGTCCTCGCTGCTTGAATGTTGAAAGTGATTGGAGCCATCATCTGCGCAAAGCGCTGCACACCTGGGGGAAATCTTCATGGGAGAATCCCGTGCAGGTGTGTTGGGTTTGCAGCTTGCTGCAACAGCAGTGTGAATGTGAGCGCGCCTTGCTCGCGGAGTGATTTCATGCCAGCTGCGATAGCCCGAGCATCGGCAGGAGTCGCACTGCATGCCCAGTATGGTGGAAGGAGTTGAGGTGGTGGATGAAGCCTCGCCCAAGCTTTCAATGCAAAGTGGTGCGGAGTGCCGACTGGCCTACGCTGAATTTCAATGGCACTGTCCCCCTCTCCTGCGGCCTGAATGAGGCGATGGACATGCATGCCTGCATTGCCACTGCCTTCCTCAATGGCAGTTCCGCCGCAGCAGGCACAAGTGCCTGCAAAGCAGCTCAATTCAATCAATGCTGTCGGCCACCGGTCTCTGTTTGAATGCTGAACGGAGCCGGGCTGTGGTGATAAATGCATCTCAAATAATCACAAGTGGATCTTTGACTACCTGGCCCCTAAGCGGCTCAAGAGCGGCCTTTCTCCTCGTCGCTTGTGCCCGGATGTTGGAAGTGGGTCGTCTCTTCTTGGCAAAGGCTTGCACACCTTCACGGGGTCAATTCCTGCAGGCCTTTTTTTCACATTGCATTCACTAAGCTGCTTTCTTTAAACTGCTCCTGCCTTGCCAGTGGAATGAACCCATGCCAGCCACGATAAACTCTGCATCTGCATGAGTCGCACTGAATGCTCAGCATCAATGAGCGTCTTGCGGTCGTCGTCTTGGTTGCGCTGGTCGTGGTTGACATCGCACCTGGCTGGCCAACAGGTGTGTAGAAAATGCGCAAGGTGTGTGGAAGTCTAAATGCAACACAGGATGTCGAAGCCTGCATGTACAAGACGCCAGCGCAATTTTGCGGCATCTCAAGACTATATCCAAGAATGCTGCAGGTGGTGATACAGAGTCTCATGGTATACTAGCAACCTATGTTACCCAGCTGTTGCCAGACCCTGCGCGTATCATAAGACACGTGCGAATGCAGCTATAAACACTCTTGAGCGTATGCTCTCAGGACCAATCTTATAAGTCCGGTAAGACCAAAAAGTGGACAACTGCAAACCTACTTCAGGCAATGTAACTCTACGACTAGCTCAGATTAAAGCAGAACCCATCACGAGCTTTGCAGCTTCGGAGCTTGCGGCCGGCTCCTGCGCAGCGTTGCTTCAGCCAGGATGATGAAAGCCCTACGACCCAAATAGCACGCCATGTTCCGCCCAGCCTCACTGGTGCTGGATGTAGATGACATGGATGTGGATGTGAAGGTCACGGTTGTCTGTGCAGGGGACATTTGGGAAGCTTGAGGCT